TCTTCCGTCCGTATACCGTGGTGGTATGTGGCACGTGGTTACACGTGAGGAAGATGTGTCTTGTGGGTAAAGATGTACACCTTTGATCAGAGTATAACCTATTCGAATAGCCGCGCCCTCGGTTATGGGCAAGCCGAGCAATGTACCCAAGTTAGTGTTTTAATTCTTAAAACCTGCTTAACAACTAAAATGTGGAATGGTTGGCCTGGGTTGGCTTGGGACGAGCTAGGACCCAGGGTCGGGTTGCCAGTTCGGTCTGAATCATCGTAGGCCTTGGGTTAAGGCAGGTTCGTGTGGGTTCACGGCCTTGATTAATAATATTGTATAGCTCTAGGATCGTATTTACAAAATAGCTTTGAGCAACTAAGTGTCTTTTAATGCTGTTTACTGCAAATCCTAACCCCCTATATTATAACTCCCTTGTACTCCCTTGCATTTATTCTGCACTCGTGGGTGTGTCTTGTTGAGTACGGTGGTTGTACTCAGTCTTGCTCAATTTTTCCCAACCCCAGAAGAGGAGTTCCTGGATAATGAAGGTTTTGGTGTCTAGCTCGTGCCTGCCGTCAAGCGCCTGTGGTCGTCGCCCTAGTCTTCCGCTGTCTTTTCGTTTGTCTTCATGTGTGCTGGGCCTTCGCCGCCCATGTAATAAATTATCTATTTACGCTTCCGCTTGTTAAACTCGTTATTGTATCAACTTTTGGTGTACCTTGCCTCCTGGGACAAGGAATAATATACGCACGCAAGGAACGCCCGTTGGGTGATTTCCGGTCGTGACATTTTCAAAGGTCCTGAGATCAGTTGTGCTACAACAGAAACTAGTCTGTCCCAAAAAAAAAGCCAAACTCTGGCTATGAACCTAGACACGCATGTGTCCAGGTTCGTAGCTAGGATTGGACTTTTTTTTTGGGACGGAGGGGTAAGTAGCAGAAAAATAAACATAATAATTTATTATGTACAAAACTTTTATTTTTGGTATTTTTAGTTTTGCAAATTATTGTGTGGTTTTCAGGTTTATAAATGCAATGCAAAAAAAAATAAACATGAAATGAAAGCTTGCTTCTTGCTATGACCCATGGTGGGGATCAAATCCCTGGTAGCAGTAAAATGCTTGCCAGTCAGCTTGCTGTTGTTGCATCATGGTATTGAAGTTTGCGATCTGTGCATCAACAGACTGCTGCCACTCTCGTGACTGTACCACATGATCCTCCAAGGTGTGCTGGATGTTCCCCGCTTGCAGTTCAAGTGCATCGATCCTCCGGGTGAGTTCTCCTAGATCCCCTCCAAAGGAGACTGAGCGACACATCCGAGAGGATGGAGGTAGACCACTTGAACTGGAGGAGCATGAGTATCCCCAGTGCAGCTCCTATGGCACATGCCACTGGCTATTGCTGGCACTCTGCTAGGATGAACCTCCGGTGTCATATTGCGAGAATTGGGTCCAACAGGGGGCATCCGTGGTCGGGTCCCAACTGTCCCCGTACATCTGCACTGGTGGTAAAGAGGAAGAAGCCTACTGGGGTGCTTCTCTCGCCATTCGTCGTGTTAACCTGTGTGGGACATCACGGTGCAACTCCACTTGGAGTGGAATTGTTAGTTCTCGGCAGTTATACAAATGAAACTCCGGGTTAGGTAACATAATCTCATTTGTGATTTTTTGATATGCTCTTCCTGCCTCCTCTCCTCCAAGTTGCTGGTTTTTCCTCCTCCCCCTCTTCATGCTTCTCCTTTTTTGGCTGTTAATGCCGTGGCGGATATCTTGGGGGTGGATGGCGGCTGTCCGGATTTGTGGGGTTGGAGGGGGGAGGCGCGCTGTCGTGGCTATGGCTCGGCCCACGCGAAGCATGCTAGCTGGCTATTTTTGACCAGGTCGCACACGCGGGGATGGGGAAAGCGCGGTTTCCTTATAGGAAACCGCCCGTCACGGATGTAATGGCGTCCATATTGTGTGCATTGCTTCGTTTCTCCAAACAACCACTTGTATTTCACCAACCTAAAATACCCGGCTCTTAGACACATCAACAAGTCAGCATGGCAATTGCCGGACTAGCAGTATAGCTCTTCCCTCTCTGACGTACCCAGGCAAGGGTGAGCATGATGGAGTTTGGTCGGCCCCGGTTTAAGGTTTGATTGGCTGTCGGATTCACCGCGGTGCACGGGAGGCTGCCCACCTCAGTTTAACGCTGGGGGCGAAACCTCAGCATGATGCACTTGATTAGGGGAAGTTATGCAAAGGGTCTTGTCACAGTTCATTTCCGATATGTCATGGTGGCATGTTGGCGCACGAAAACGTGCCGTAGGGCTATGTATTGAGGGTACAGTTGTACGCCTCTAGCCAGAGTAAAACTATTTGAATAACCGTGCTCGTGGTTATGGCGATCAACCAGCCTCATGGTGATTTGTCTCATCATTAATAATTTGACTTAACGGAATTGGTATTGTTCAGGTGGATGGTTGGGCCTGTCACAACGTGGTTTAGCATTGGATGGTGATGATTAATATTGTCTAATCTATTTCAATAGTTTTACTGCTCTCAACTATTGCTTTAGAACTACTTTATGCAAAAAAGCCCCTAGCCTCCTTGTAAATGCTTGCATCATACCTCTTATTGGTATGACTTGTCGAGTACAGTGGATAGTACTCAGTCTTTATCTATTTCCCTCACCTTAGAGTTGGACTACTACTTGGATGGAGGTAACTCGGATGAGTAAGCTTCGTTGCTACCATCAAGAATGCCTGTGGGGTGGAGTCACAGCACTGCTAGCATCAATTATCACAAGTTTAGCCAACTTTACCTTTTTTGCTGCATTTGAAAGAATTTATAATATTTTGTAAGACTTATGTCAATTTTGTTATTTGTGTACCCTGGTCGGTCCTGAGCAGGGGTTTAATGCACATTTTGCTTAGAATTCTGGTTCGTGAATTTCTGGTAAGCTGGTGGCTAGGGTTAAAAAAAAAAGAGGGGCGCAGCGCGAGAGTTCAACGCGACATGGAGGCGCGCAGCGGGCTAGCGTCGCTGGTAACTGTGCGAGGGCTCGACATGCCGGTGGCGCAGCCGCGTGGGCGAGTGCGCAAGAGCAGTGCAAGCACCTGGCGCGGCTAGGGTGAGCGTGAAAAGGGATCACAAACAGCTAAGTTTTTGTTTCTCTTTAATTGGGACGATAGCCCACAAGCAGAAGCAACCCACCTATCATGCTGAGATGTCTACCCTAGCTCGTTAAGCCTCATGAGATTTTATGCTAGCTCGGCTCATTATGAAAATGAAATGAGTCACGCCAATCTTGTCACAGACCAAACAAGCTAACAAGCTACAAGCTTCACATCCACCCCAAACCGTAGAGCATTTGGATTGCCCTAAGCCCCCAACAGATCATCACAAGTGTCATATCCTATATACTTATACATTTGATCCCACTAACTAGAATTTCCTGCCCTCTCATGTCAAAAAAAAAAAATTTCCTGCCCTCTTAGTGATCCATGTCACCTGTTTTAGTGGCAGCCATCGGATAGCAGATCACTGGCTCCTCAAGGCACCTCTTAGAGCACCCGCAATGGTAAAGTAAGGTGCTATCTATAAAACATGTACATCTCAGCAATAGACTAAATTAATAGTAAACCACTTCAATGGTATGTCTACATGGGTATCTATAGCTCTCTAATCCATTGCCTCGTTTTTTTCTATAGACTATCTCCAGATTAGTAGATAGCTTTGCTCTCTCTCTTCATTTAATCTCTTCCAAGTAGGAAAATATGTTGACATGGATCTCTTGTAGAGAGCCTATAGATAACCATTACGGGTGCCCTTAGTTTTCCTATCTCATCGCACATGCCTGTGATGAATTAATCAAAAAGCCCACTAACGTCGGAACATCGGATGTCCCGTTAATGCTGAATCATTGTGGAACCTAAGCTTCTGTGACAACAAGCTGCATGCACATCGAGAGCCTTTCATCTTCCACATGCATGCATGCACTAAATTTTCTACCCTGATCCCCACTAAGTAGAATTTCCTGCCCTCTTAGTGATCCACGTCACCTGTTTTAATGGCAGCCATCGGATAGCAGATCACTGGCTCCTCAAGGCACCTCTTAGTTTTCCTATCTCATCGCATGCCTGTGATGAATTAATCAAAGAAGCCCACTAACGTTGAAACATGGGATGTCCCGTTAATTTTGGATCATTGTGGAACCTAAGCTTCTGTGAGAACAAGCTGCATGCACATGGAAAGCCTTTCATCTTGCACATGCATGCATGCACTAAATTTTCTACCGTAACTAAAAAAGTAAGGTGGACAGTCATTCTTCAATTTCCATGTCTTTATATTCATCTTCTGATATGGGCATCACAGATTCATGGGTCGGATCAATATGCATGATCGGCAAACGGATTGTAGCAGTTCCCGTCGTTTTCTGAAGGAATGGAAATAGCCATCATGCGATTCATGACCAAAGTTTGCTCCATGCAGTTTCTCCATTTGGTCACTGCCACCTGAATCCAACCGTAAGTTCATGTTACCACTTTCGTCATCCCCTCATTGCCCATGATCATGCTTTAGCCATGTCAGCATACCAACATGCATTTTGTGTTTACTTTTTGTTCCTCATATCTATTGTTATTTTGTACCGTTTAAGTAGAAGGTGGTGCAGTTCAGTTTTTTCTCAGCATAATATTGATGCAATGTGTTTGATAATATTATTACAATCTTGCAGGCTACACGCACTATTGTACAATTGCATTTGTTTGTTATATAGCAGTTTAAAGGAACATGCATACATATCAATTAGTTGCTATCAAGCATTTAGCCTACATTTTATTTTTGAGATTTTTCGTATTTTATATCTTCGCTTGAACTTTTCTTCTTTCATGTGATTATTCATTCCAATTTTATAGATCCAATTGCTCTTAAATTTTCGCAGCAACGCGTGAAGTATCGTCTAGTTCATTTTATAAGATTGCCTTGATAAACGGGTAAAAGTTAAAAGGAGGGCACCTCACTTATCTTGTTATTCAACAAACAATCCGATTATTTATGCAAAACTTCAAACGAAAATTCTCATGTTTAATGCACAACTATTGATATCAGAACTAAATATATATCTAAAATAATCCAAATGCTGGACTCACAGCAGTTGTTGACCGCGACACGAGCATCTTTGAGTTTTAGATCAAGAGGTATAGCAGTGCTGTCCGGCTCACGTGTTGGTGATGTGACTACGGGTAAAGAAAAATGACATACTGGTCTAAATGACAAGCAAACATACCGAACTTGCTACCAAGGGATCCTTCAAATAAAGGACAGTTGATTCTTGTGCATGCCCAATTCAAAACTCTAGTTCAGAGGAGCATCTTCATGCTCCCTTCTACGCAATCACTCGAGCAGCTTCACGTTTTGCTGCAAATTCCAATTCTTCTGGTGTGAAGGGAAGCGGCTTTGTTGGGGCAGGCAGGCGGCCAATGCTATCAACCTTGTCTCGTTGCTTGGGTGGGGGCCTTGCTGCTTTAGGTAAAAGTCGGCCTTTCTTTGCAAACCACTCGGGCTTGAGAAGTGCCCTGAATCCAAGGTTATTATAGTACACCAGTCTTACCGTTCCACCAGCTGCTTCAACTGCAGCTTTTGCCCTAGCAGTTGTCCTTGATACCTACAAATGTTCAATCATATATTATTTAAGGGATTTTCGAATAAATAGATCATAAATGCAAAATGTTATGAGGGGTGGACATTAGGATAGCTAAAAGAGTAAGATCTCATCTACCGAGTACCCACAGAAGGCACACTCAGACCTAATCTAATGAAAACCTTTTAAGTTGTAACCAAATCACACTTGACCAACCTTTAAAACTTCAACCACTAATATGCATGTATTTGTATCTATCATGAAAAATTAGAACGGTATTGTTTTTCCTGAAAAAAATATTTTCATATTATTAAAGCTTAAATGTGTATCAAAGAATGATAAAAATGTGTGTGTGGTAGATAATGTGACATCTAAAACAAGTAAACAAGAAAAGAGAAAAATAAAGTTGCTTTCTAGTCATCTAGCCATTTAAGGCTTACATGAACCACATTAGTCAGATTAAAGCCACATCATACTGATAAAATGGATATTTTAAGTCAACTTTGATTACTTATAGCACGAAGTAATCATCTGTTCTCCGAATGATCATCATCCATGGGCAAGTAGACCATGTAATGAAGTAACATATGGGCTACATGAGATCTCAGTTTAATATAATAATTATGAGTATATGCAAATTTAGTTAGAATTTTCTATCTCGCTCATAACATGAAGAGAGAAACAGGAGATAATATTTGAAGAGTATGGCCAGACGATAATATTTCCAAGTTAGAGCATGAAGGTCATGATTAAATGAGAACATCTCATTTAGCGGAATCTTATGCTTGCCTCAAGGTGGATTGGCCATTTAATTTCCTCTGCTCCACGGCCCATTAGTCGAATTCCATCCTTTATTTGTTTTCCAATAGCACCTGTATCCTGGCAAAGCAGGAAAAAGAAATTCAAAACTACAAAAAGAGCAGAACATATCTTTTTCTTTAAAAAAAAAAAAAGATTGTTAGTACCTTCAGTGTCTTCATTGTGATCAATTCAGAGGAATCAATTTTTCCAGCGTTGATGAGCTTTGCAATTTTCCCCAGACCACATGGCTGATCAAAGGGAATATTAATATCATCAGATATCGTTCTAGATGCCTTTGTAAAATACAGCTTTGGATTAGATTGAAGAATAAGCAACGTTAAGATGACACATTGCATCTCTTCTAAAATGAAGACATAGTTTCCTAAATAGATATCAAAACCTACATGGCTACATTCTCTCTAGAGGTTGAAATGGAAATGTGCATGAATCAACAGTATTCCGAATTTGCTGAATACAATCACTTAAAAGTCTTAAACAATAACCTGAGATGGGTACTATCATACAGGAATAGTTTTTTCGGAACCTGGGAGATTGTAATACAAAATGAGAAATTACTCGTTCATTTAGGAAAGATGTTTGCACTTTCACTTTGCACCGGCCTAATCACTCTGGTTGGGGTATGCTCTCCTGGTGCTGATGAGCCCATAACACCCTTTGCCTTCAGGTATGCTATATTTGTTAGTAGTATGTAAACTGATTCAACCTGAAGTGTTTAGGAAGTGTGAAGTGCAACTTATTTGTTAGTTTGGTATAAAGTGAAAGTGTTCGCTAACCCCATTGCAAATTGCAATTTACTCAAGAAATAATCTAGAATACCTTACCATATAGGAGATACATTACAGAAAAATGTAAAAGTGATGCATTTGTTCACACCCCATTGCAATATTCAATGCCATATGAGGGTGGTAAAGAAAGCTCATCATAGCAGGATCCATATAAATGAAACTCTCTTATTCTGCTAGGTATTTCTCTTCTTATCAGCTCTAATTGGTCTCTATGAGCCTAACTATATCCAAGAACTACATATAATCATTAAAAAGAATGGACTTGGGCAGGATAGAATCAGTCATATCAGTTGGCTCATGCCAAAATGGTTTTAAAGGACCTACATTCCCCATGTTTTAGTCATCTTTCACGTGTGTTAAGCCACCCACTAGTGCTGCCTTTGACATCTTAGCCCATCTAAGGGATATCGCCAAATTTTCTTCGTTTAAAACAAGGAACTTATAGGATAACAACGAAATCCTTATAATGGCATTGGCAGCACAAAATGGAAGTATATCAAGCTAGATCAAGTATGTGCAAAGTGCAAACCAAATTCAAGTGGTCGACTAGGTAAGTATGGGCAGCCTTCAACCCAGCAACATTTCGATGGGGCAACCAAGCCTGATTCGTAAAGAAACAAGAGCGAAATGCAGGTATATGTGATCAAACCCTGCGCGCAGAACACCTGTCGAACACCTTTCGTGCAACACTCTACATCATACAACCTGCGATACGACGGGTGGGGAAAGGCGAACCTGAAACGTCAGAGAGAAGCGGTTCTTGAAGCCGCGACGGGGGAGGCGGCGACGGAGCGGGGTCTGGCCGCCCTCGAAGCCGAATCTGGCGGTGCCCCGCGCCTTCTGCCCCTTGTGGCCGCGGCCAGCCGTCTTGCCCTTCCCGGAGCCGATCCCTCGGCCCTTCCGGGTCTTCTGCTTCCGCGCCCCCGGATTGTCCCTCAGGTCGTTGAGCCGCAGCAGACTCCCCACCGTTCTCGGGGCCCTCGCCGCCGGCACGGCCGCCGCCGCCGCGGCTTGGGTGGCGTAGGATAAGGATGAGGCGAGCTTTGGGGCGGGCAGAACGGTGGAGATTGCGGTTGCGGGGGCGGGATGTGGGTGAGGGACGCGGCGGGAGACCGCGGTGGCGGTGGCGGTGGCGGTGGCGCGGAGGAGGTGGGAGGCGCGGCGCCACATGGCTGGAGTGGTGGGCTGGCTTTCTTCCTCGTCCGCTGGTTTGGGTGGGTTTGGGGGTTTTAGGGTTCGTTCCACCGGTGCGATCTGTTCCCTACTTTTTCTTTACAAATTGGTATTTTTCTAAAACTCATTTTGAATTTAGATCGTAACTTTAACCAAAAATAAGTCACCGGCTGGCACTAATGTTAAACAAATCAGCACCAGACACGTTGGCGCTGATCCCCTCGCAAACGTGGCAAAGCTCAACGTCATAGCGGTTGGTGTTGACCCCTCTAACCTCAACGCTAGCTGCGTTGGCGCTGAGATAGAGGGGACTTAACCCCATGGTCGAGCCACGCCGGCTCTATCTAAGGCTAGGGTTTGCTCTCCCGTGGTGCCCTCTCTCCTCCTCTCCCAAAAATCTCCTCAAATCTCTCTCAAATCGAAGGTTATTTTGTGGTTATTGCGTTGATGAAAAAAACACACACTGGCCTGAGAGGTTTGCTTCACTCTAATGCAGATCCAAATCTTACTTTCGGGTTCAAGGTGTGTCAGTTGTTTAGATCCTGCCACCAACAAGAATAAAATAAAACAGTTAAATCGGCAAACGATAGCCGATCGGCTGGAAAGCCGATGGCATATCGTCTTTAACGTAGCCAATGCAATTATGTAGAATCAACCGTCACGTATAATCTTAAAAGAATATAGGTAAACTCTAAATATGTCGTATCGACTGTAGAGATAATCGACCATACAATCCCTAAATTAATATGCTCTAAATTATACACAAACAGTACAGATCAGACCTAACCAAGACAGCATAGATTGTACATAGATCAGATTGACTAACTTAGAGATTATATGTGTTTATATCAATAGCCGATAAGACAATACTCAGATAAAAAATAATGTATTAGCTAATACTCTAATACAACATTATGCATGTACTCCTTCCGTTTCAGGTTATAAGACGTTTTGGCTTTAGTCAAAGTCAAATTGTTTCAAGTTTGACTAAGTTTATAGACAAATATAGTATTATTTATAATACTACATTAGTTTCATCAAATCAGTAATTGAATATATTTTCATAATAAATTTGTCTTTGATTAAAAATGTTTCTACTTCTTTCTACAAACTTGGTCAAACTTAAAGTAGTTTGACTTTGACCAAAGTCAAAACGTCTTATAAAATGAAACGGAGGGAGTATCTCAGTTGGCCTCAATCAAAGAAACAAGGTGTTGCGTCACCAAAAGTGGGCCCATAGCTCTCGGAGTCCTCGGAGTCTTCGGAGGAATTTCGGTATGACTTTAGGAGTTTTCCTTCTTTCTTTTGTAAGACCTTCGAAATTAATGAAATACTTTATATGCTCTCGATACTTTAGTATATCTAAGTATTATATTGACTTTATATATGTACCGGTATAGTCGTATAGTTAGCCTATCAGAAAGGTGTAGTGGTGTGGGTTTAATGTTTGTTTACTCGGTTGCTCAATGTTATCTCGAGAGATGTAGAGTAGTATTTAATAATGTAGACGTGTTGTCTAGATTATTAAGTATTATTATCTGGGCATATATGCTACGGGTCAGTCGAAGTGGGCCGCTGATGGTGATAACTCAGTACGGGTATTCCTCCACGATAGTATATATTCCTGAGAAACTTTCCTAGGGAGGTACTCCTCCGTATTTAGCTCTGGTTGGACGGCCATGATAGGTTGTCGTAAGAAACTCAGCAATCCGGGGTGGACTCTCGAAACACCAGGAGGGTACTCTTAGAGGGTATTGGCTATATGGTTGTATACTAGCAGGTGTAAACTTAAGTTTAAAATTATAGGAATTAATTGTTCTTCTATTTCTTCTTCCACTTAGTTTAGGAATGATTTAATGAGATATATGAGTGATTTGCTTTATGTCACTCTTCTTCCACTTAGACTTTGATTATACAAGTGGCAAGCATACATTATTAGCATAGTTCTCTCTTACAATCTTCCCTTAGGATTAAATAAATACGATACCTTGGAATACTCCTGGGTGAAATGCTATAATGGTATATCCGTGCACTTTGCGGATTCTTTCTGTAAACCATATATATATCGGGACCATTTCTAGCGCCATTACTGGGAATTTATATTTCTAGTAATGTCGTTAAGAAATACCAACAATATACTCATATGTAGTAACATTGTCTTGTCCTAACACTACAAGAATCTATTTAATCTGTGGCGAAATTTGACGAAATTTTCGTGATGTTTTCAGATATCGTCACGGATATACAACTATGGATACCAGGCCCATAATACCGTGACAGTTTATCGATTTCGTCATAAACCGGCCCAAAACCTGTGATGTTATAGCAATTTCGTCACGATTTAAATACTTCAAAACCATATAAGAGATATGTAAATTTTGTGAACAATGTTACTATTATTTTACCAAATGAAGAACTGACCAAATTAAAAGTTATAGATATTGATGAGTTATACAACTTTGATGTTGATGACTTTTTCAGTTGAAATCATTTAGTATTTGAAAATATTGTTTGAACTTGTCATAATTTGAAATTCAAATTCAAATTATTGAAACAAAGTCATACAGCAAAATGACCAAAACAAAAGTTGTAGATATTGATGATTTATACAACTTTGCTGTGGATGACTTTTTCAGTCGAAATAATTTAGTATTTGAAAATGTTGTTTGAAGTTATTATAATTCAAAATTCAAATTCAAATTATTGAAACAGAGTCATATAGCAAAATGACCAAAACAAAAGTTGTAGATATTGATGATTTATATAACTTTGCTGTTGATGACTTTTTCAGTTGAAATCACTTAGTATTTCAAAATGTTGTTTGAAGTTGTCATAATTTGAAATTCAAATTTAAATTATTGAAACAGAGTCATATAGCAAAATGACCAAAACAAAATTTGTAGATATTTATGATTTATACAATTTTGTTGATCATGACTTTTTCAGTTGAAATCGTTTAGTATTTGAAAATGTTTTTTGAACTTGTCATAATTTGAAATTCAAATTTTATATACGTCAATCAAACTCATATGGAGAAATAACCAAAATAAGATTGGTAGATCTCAATAAGTTATACAACTTTGTTTTTGACAACTTTTTCACATAAGTTCATTTAGTAGATAAAATTCGATTCGAAGGTTTAATATTTTCAAGTTAATTGAAAAGAGGGAGAAAAATGGACTTCTTGTCAAGGGATAAGCAAAAGGGCTGGCCCGTAACAGGCCTTTTGCTCCTCCCCGCCGAGAAGTTCATTTTGCCTCCCTCCTTTCAATTAATTTGGAAATATTAAACCTTCGAATCAAATTTTATCATACTAAATGAACTTATGTGAAAAAGTTGTCAAAAATAAAGTTGTATAACTTATTGAGATGCACTAATCTTATTTTGGTTATTTCTCCATCTGAATTTGATTGACCTATATAAAATTTGAATTTCAAATTTTGACAACTTCAAATAACATTTTTAAATACTAAATGATTTCAACTGAAAAAGTCATCAACAACAAAGTTGTATAACTCATCAATATCTACAACTTTTGTTTTGTTTATTTTGCTATATGACTTTGTTTCAATAATTTGAATTTGAATTTCAAATTATGACAACTTCAAACAACATTTTCAAATACTAAATGATTTCAACTGAAAAAGACATCAACAACAAAGTTGTATAACTTATCAATGTCTATAACTTTTATTTGGGTCATTTCTTCATTCGGAAAAGTGATAATAACATTGTTCACAAAATTTACATATCTCTCTTATAGTTTATAAACTATATAAGAGATAATTATATTTTGTGAGCAATGTTACAAACTGCTTTGTCGGATAAAAAAAAGACCCAAATAAAAGTTATAGATCTTGATGAGTTATACAACTTTCATGTTGATGACTTTTTCAGTTGAAATCATTTAGTAATTGAAAATGTTGTTTGAAGTTGTTATAATTTAAATTCAAATTCATATTGTTAAAAAAAAGTCATATAGAAAAATAACCAAAACAAAAGTTGTAAATCTATATCTATACCTAATTAAAAAATATGTAAGGATTCCGGGCGTTTTTTTCGTCCGTCCCACACGTGTAGCTAAATCCGTTTTAATCTGATTAATAGACGGATCGGACAATTTTCAATCTACTCCAAAACCGAGGTTTATATACTATATGTAAGTTCCATGTAATCTCGTAGCACATATAGTAATCTGCCTACATGGTTAACATCGAAAGTTTTCATCCCGGCGACCAGGGTTCGATTCCCACCTTCCACTCACGCATTTTTTCACCTATTATTGCTAGCACTATGCCTATGGGCTAATGGGCCCCTCCTAGAATAAGTCTACTTTCCCTCCCTCGTGTCAAATCTCCCGCATTTTTTCACCTATTATTGCTGGCACTATGTCTATGGGCCCATCCTAGAATAAGTCTACTTTCCTTCCTTCGTGTCAAATCATATTACCATGCACATCCATTGCTGAAAAATCAAAAGTATTGCACCTCTTTCTTCAACAGATTAAATTATTGATTCTGAAATCTTATAATGAACCATTTTTTAATTTGAAAAGTAAAGATAATCATATTATATACACAAAAATATATATAAATATATGCTTACCGATATATAGGATGTAATACATATTCAAGTATACAAAATTAATGCCCTTTCTTTCCATGAAAGAAACAAAAGGTTGCTGCACATGCAAAGGGCCCACGATCACTTTTTATGGTGTTAATATGTACCTAATAATAAAAATAATAAAAAAGTATGTAAGGATTCGTCCGTCCTTACCTAAATTTTTTCATTCGCAACATCCTGAGTCCAACACTGGCCGTGCCAAAGAGGCAAGCCGAGCGGATGGAGCTAGCGAACAAGGCTGAGGGTTGAAAAGAAATGAATGGGACTTTCAGCCTAAAACCAAGGAGTATTCAACTAAAAAAACCAAGCAAGCTGGATAATGTATATCAATTTCAAAATATTTTTACCCGTTGCAACGCACGGGCATTTTTTTCTAGTCTTAATAAATTATACAACTTTGTTGTTTATGACTTTTTGAGTTGAAATCATTTAGCAATTGAAAATGTTGTTTGAATTTGTTATAATTTGAAATTCAAATTTTATATAGTTCGATCAAACTCGGATGGAGAAATGACCAAAAGAAAAATGGTAGATCTAAATAAGTTGTACAACTTTGTTTTTTACAACTTTTTCATACGAGTTGATTTAGAACCATAAAAATCGATTCGAAATTTCTAATGAAAATTTTCCCTCCTCACCACTCCAAAAATTTTTCATCAACCTCCTCTTCTCTCTCTCCCTCCACTTATATTTTCCCCTTCTCCTCACTCTTTCTCTTCCTCTCTCTCACTCTCTCTCCTCTCCCTCTTTCTATTCCTCTTCCGGCGACGAGCACGAGTGGGCGGCGTGCGCGTGCCGGCAGCTGGCGGCCGCCGCATCGTCCCCGTCGCTCGGGCTGCCCCCTCCGCAGCGGCGCTGACCCCGACGACAACGAGGAGGCGCGACCCCGGCAACGACGACGCCGACCCCGACGACGAGTGGGCGGTGACGCGGGCCTCGTCCCGCCCGGATCCGGCGGCGGCGGGCCTCGTCACACCCGGATCCGGCGGCGGCGGGCCTCGTCCCGCCCGGATCCGGAGGCGGGAGTGGGCGGCGGCGGCGCGGCGGATCCGGCTCGGGCGCGGCGTCGACGACGGTGGCGGGCGGCAGCGGCGAGGTCGGGCACGGCGGATCCAGAGCGGTTGCGAGCGGTGGCGGCGAGCTCGGACACGACGACGACCTCGGCGACGACGACGGCGGCGGATCCGGCTCGGGCGCGGCGACAACGACGGCGGCGGGCGGCGGCTAGCTCGGGCGCGACGACGACCTCGGCAACGACGAAGGCGGCGCACGTCGGCGAGGTTGGGCGCGACGGATCCAGCGCGGTGGCGGGCGGCGGCGGTGAGCTCGGGTATATGTCCGTACTCAAGAAACTTCTATCTATTACATGATCGTGCATTGTGCAAGATGGTTACTTACTTGATTTGGGGATGATGCAAAATTCAACTGTGACGACTGGTTGAAAAGTACATTATTTTGTTTTATGAGATTCTTCACTATTATGCTTAAACTCATGTGCATCCATCCTTTTGTTACAGTGAAGCTATATGTTGTTGCTTGAGATTCAGCTGATGCTACCCTGTATCAGTACCCAATCCATTTTCTTTCTCTTCTCATGTGTTACAACTTTGATTTGTCATTCGTGCTGCTATACATGTTCATTTCCGAAGATCTGTAGTTTATCAGGATGCAATCGTGACTCGGAAAATATAAAGTAGAGTGTGATTCCTTATACAATAAGACCCAATCTTAGATTCGATGTTCACATGCTCATGAACCAAATATTATTGGAGTTGTTGGTTTGAATGATATGCACATTGAACTGTTACTAAAAAAGCATGTTCTAAGGGGCTGTTCTGATTTTTTATGTGCGACTTCATGCATTATCTTTAGGATGGTAAATTTGTAATGGTGAGTGAGTTTTGTTCTCATCAGAATCTTTAGCACCATTTCTATTAAATTAGTCATCAATGGGTAACCTGTGTATGCTGTTCGATTCATGTGCTACAACTTTGCTCGATAGTTCTTTGTTGGTTGTCTTAGACAATCACTGATTTAGTCTGAAAGCAAATGATTTAACCTAATCAACCGAGTTGTATGCCGCCACAGGCAGCGCGGCATGGCGCGCCCCAGCCTCTAGTAGGAGTCCATGAGTAGCATATTTTTAATAAAGAGATCAATTTGAATAATTAGGGAGTCTATGAACAGAAACATAGACCTTTATAATTATAGCATGCATGCAATCATGTGCGGGCATTTCTCATTAACTTTCTTAGACTTATTACTGGGATTTTGCACATGGCAGCTAAGGAGAAACAATATGAAATGGATGGATTAGTTAGTTAATTTGAGTGTGCTTGATTTCTTTCGGTCATTGTTCTTACTGAAAGCAATATTTTCTTAATTTCTAACGGGAAATGTACACAGTTTTGCGAAGAAGGGGGAAAAGAAGAGGATGAGTATGTATTGCTAGAGTTGGATGATTGTCTTTATCTGACATAAAACCAAATGCTCCATATGTGCTCTCTGTAAGTTGGTCCTCCATTTTTTTAATCAGTGGCTTAATGGTACGGATGGGCACGCTTTGAGTGTACAAAATCTGTTTCTCTGAATGTTTTTAATCAGTGGCTTAATGGTACGGATGGGCACGCTTTGAGTGTACAAAATCTGTTTCTCTGAATGTTAGATTTTAGTTGTGCATGTAGTTCCCAGAAGTAGCTCTAAGATTTCCTTTGTAGCAGAACGACCAACATTAAAAATGCCATATGCGCATAGAAATGTAGCAGTGAGCTCTGTGCTGATTATCTAGGAGAGCTCTTGCCATCAGCATTTAAAATCGCCTAATAGAATTACAGAAGGACAAAGACATATATGTTTCATTTATTTTGAAAATAGGAACTGAACTTAAGCTCAGTTGGTTGACTTGAACTTGGATGCCTATTTCTTGTCTATAAATTGATACTGAGATTCTCCTTGTCATCCATCACCTTTTTTATATATATTTTGAGCAGCCTTTGTTGCTACAAAGTGCTACCAGTGTGTGTTATGTGGTAGCTTTGGGGAGAAAATATATAGTCTACCATGTGATGTGAGAAAATGGTATGCCAGCACATATTCTGCTTATTAATCTTTTTAATGCCATGATTTATGGACGTGAAAATAACAAAGTTAAGTTTTTCTCCCACATCCTTTGATCACTGAGACGTTGGCTCATATCTATTTCAAAAAGTTTGTTCACTGTCTTTATCTCATACTGAACACTACTGAGTTTTTCTTGTCATGTTTTCCAGGGTATCTGATTCCTTCTGGTCGTCCTCGTCTTGATCCAGATCAAGCGTGATCCCAATCTGCGCGCTTACTTTCTTGGCTTGGATTGATTGATTGAAAATGTGTGTTTCTCAGGCCGCCTCCTGTTATTAGGTTGAATCTGAGATGAACTATTATTTAAATTCTGTTGTATTCTGGTTGTATCTATTATTAGTTGAATCTGATATGGTATCAGTTGTTAGGTTTGAATCTGAGATATATGAGAAATTGGATTGAATTTGGTGGGCTCAAATTTAATGGGCTTATTTAGTGGGCTTTGATCTGATAGCTGGTTGACAAAATGGGCCAGTTTTGAAATGGGCCTATTTTAAAATGGACCAATTCCAAAAAAAATAATGGGCAGCTGTTAAATAATTAATGGGCTGTCAAAGAAATGATGGGCCGTAAAAAAATAATGGCCTGTATAAAAAAATTGCTAACATTAGCTGCCACGTCATCAGTGCCACATCATCACACACGTGCACCTGCCATGTTGGCTGCCATGTGGCAACCATATGTGACGTTTAATTTCGTCACAAAGGTTGGGCCTGGACTGGACTACATTAGCCCATAAGCGTTTTATGATGGTTAAAAAACGTCATAGATTGTGCTGATTCGTGACGATTTCGAAGAGAACGTCGGCAGATTTAATCTGTGACGCTCAATAGATGACGATAAGTATAATCGTCACAGATAAATTCCTATGACGAATTTTCAGTGATCCATGACGAATTTTTTTCATCATAGATTCTTGCAGTGTAAGAACTTTGAAAATTTGGAATCTTGTATCGACTTGGTAATGGCACTCTATCAAAATATTCTGGGTATGTGTGTCGATACATGATCCCATTATCATCCCAAATTGTTCCCTCACCACTTCTGCAATAATATCGGCTAAAGATTGTTGTTGAACTCCTTGATTTTGCTGCTCATACTGATTATACATCGGTTGTGCTGGAGCTTGAACAAAAGGAAATGTGTCCTGCCGATACTGCATAGGTGATGAAGGCTGAAACTGACTAAAATTAAACCCTGGAATTTGTTGATATTGGAAAGCATTAGGGTCCACGGTGCAATACTGTGGTCCAATTGATTGAGTCTCAATCGGCAGTCCTGAAGATGGCTGGGTTAGATGAGAAGGAATTACTGGCGGCTGTCTTGCCGTCGGCTGTGTGACTGATGGCTATGAACTTTCAGAAATTTTCATTGTCTTTGAATAATTGAGCCAGTTGCTCAGGTGTCATGGTGCTTGGTCTTGGAGCTCCTGATGTCGGCTGTTGTTTTGGCTGCGCTAATCCTGACGCCGACATGAAGTTTTCTTGAGGCTGACCACTTCCAAGTTTAGTCCTAACTTCTCTGTATTTGGGAAAAACACCACTTGGCAAATATACTAGTCCTCTTGCTTTCTCCTCAGCAATTGATCCGTCAACCACTGACTTGACCAAATTTGACAAAGTGTTGACCAAGATCGCAGATTGGTTGATGAAAGCATGATGCATAGCTGAATCAAGACGACCCTGTAAAGTCATCAACTGAGTTTTATTATCTTTAGCATCATCGTTTTCTTTCTGTTCTCCTTTGGCACGAGATTATCCTTCTCCTTCTAACTTCGGCATTTGAAATTTATACTGTTGAATCACTTTCCCTTGCTGAGTCATAGAGAAAGAATTAAGATATGCCTCCTTTAGTTGTTGTATCTTCTATTCCATCTTTGCCTTTTGTTCTTCAGACAGATCTTCAACCTTGGCGGGTATGGCGTTGTCTCTAACAATGTCGGTTATTGACGGTGATGACATGGTTGGATAATGAAACTCGGTCGCACCGGGCGTGCCAAAAGCGTGTTGATGTGAAAACACGGCGGCCTGGGAGAACTACTTAACTCCAGTGCAGGTCGAAGGCTAGCCTAGAGTGTGTCAAGGGCGTGCCAGCTGATTTGATCCTGCAATCAGCAAGAAAGAATAAAAGCAGAATTAGTCGATCGATAGCCGATCGGCCGATAGCGTATCGTTGATGGTCTCAACCGATGGAGTTAGACCAAATCGGCTATGGACTAGATATATCAAAGAATAATAAACCCTAAACACGCCTAATCGGCTGTAATAGTATCCATCGAGTTCAATAGATTGGTTTAGGACAATATTATGAAAGTAGCCGATGTGACAGTATTTAGAGGAAGAAAGATAAAGTACTAGCTAATACTTCAGTACAAACCTATATAAACCTATATAAACAAATTGATCCATATAAACGTATCAAACAGAAATTAGGCATGAAGGTGTATGAATCTAGCCGATACTGACTAAAGCTTCATATGCTTATATAAAACGATCTATCTACATAAGTGGCGAATATACATGAAATAGGGAGTGAAACATACATATTAGGTAAGATCGGCTGAAACCCCGATACTATCCTTATTATGCCTAATTGCAGGCTAGTTTGCATGGTTTTAAACACAACTAGGGATGATGCATCTCAAAGTATGAAAAGAAACATGCAGTCTAGACAATCCAGCAATTACACACTTTTTAGGATGGTAGATGCCTTAGCAAATCTAATCTAGCAAGACAATTTAACCGAAACCAGCATAAACCCTAAAGCGAGCAGCAACCGATAGAGCTAAATCGAGAAGCTAAGAATAGATTAACCAAGACATATGATAGTAATGACTCGCGATATCGAGCCTAACACATCTAAAGCAATATGTTAGCCCTGATAATGCGGGCCATAGAGACGGGTTACCTCTTGAGAAGAACTTGCCGGAAACGTGTCACGCCCAGAACTTCGACAACCCGAATCTCAAGCAGAATGCGTATTGAATCTTTGTCCAGGACCAGCCAGACTACACAAACGACAATTTGATACAGTTCCACGACTTACAAAAATAACAAAATTAAACTTATACGCAGCGGAAAAAGTAAAGAACTAGACTTAGGTGGTGTTTGGATCCAGGGACTTAACTTTAGTCCCTGTCTTTAGACACTAATTTAGAGTATTAAATATAGACTACTTACAAAACTAATTACATAAATGAAAGCTAATTCACGAGACAAATTTTTTAAGCCTAATTAATCCATAATTAGAGAATGTTTACTGTAGCATCACATAGGCTAATCATGGATTAGTTAGGCTCAATAGATTCGTCTCGCGAATTAGTCCAAGATTATGGATGGGTTTTATTAATAGTCTACGTTTAATATTTATAATTAATATTCAAACATCCGATGTGACAGGGACTTAAAAGTTTTAGTCCCATCTAAACAGGGCCTTAATCTTCACGACCAAAGCGAAGCTTCCTCCATAGACCACACAGGCAACCCTCGATGTCCGGAACAAGATCAATCCTCAGAGAACTCACCATCTGAACCAACTTCTGCTTCTGGGGAGGGAAAACTTAAGCAAGACTGAGTATCAACCACCGTACTCAACAAGTCATACCAATGAGAAAGTATGATGCAAGGATAATCAAAGGAATGGCTCAATGGATAGTTTGTAATAAAAGCAACATTTATAAATCATAATTTGAAAGAAGTAAAAACAATATATAATTAAGCAGTATTAACATCATCACTATCCAATGCTAAATCCATGTTGCAACAAGCCAAACCAAAACCACCTGAACTACACCAGTTCTATAAGTCAAATTATTAAGTGGGACTAATCACGGTGAGCTAGTTGACCGCCCAATAACCGCGGGCACGGCTATTCGATTAGTTTTACTCTGATCAGAAGTGTACAACTTTACCCACCAGACACAATTCCACACATATTACCATGCCCCGAAGTACCACCGAGATACTGCAAAGGGGGAAATTGTGACAAAACCCGTCATATAACTCTCCCTAACCGAGCAAACCCAACTCAGGTTTTAACCCCTCCTTATGCCAAGTTGGGCAGTCCCTCTCGTGCCTAGGAATAGATTCTTTTGTTATTCTTTTCCACTTAGCCTAGACATAGTATTTATGAGAGAATGAGTTCTTTTGCTTCGTGCCACTCTACCCATGAATTAAATTAACCCCTGCTCAGCCTTTGATTATTACAAGTAACATATAAATATTAGCATAGTTCTATGTATTATAATCTTCGCACGGGACCATTCGTGAGTTCGCTGGCCCCTCAACTGACAACGTGCCCGTTGGGCCGCAAGTCAACTTAGGAGACACGGATTTCGATTTGAAGTCAAACCTCATCACCATGGCGCAGGCTAGACCTCCTCATGAAGCGACTGGACGAACACGAGAAGAAGCCTCAAGGCAACATTAAGGCCTTGGACTCACACGTTATGTGCGAACTCTGTGGCAACACGGGTCATTCTAGGAACGACTGCCTGGAAACCCATGAAGAGGCATTGTTCATAGGCAACAACAACAATAACGGATTCCGTCCACAAGGAGGTCAGGGGTGGAACCAGCCTTGCCCATACTTCCAAGGAGGCAATAAAAAAGGTAACTTTTCTAACCAGCCTTCCTTGAAAGATCTTGTTTTTGGACAAGCCAAACCCACCGATGCACTTAGCAAAAAATTAGCTGCCAATGGTAAGATCTTTGAAAATATAATTGTTAAGTTAGACGGCTTTGCTTCCGCATTTCAAAATCAGCCAAGCTTTAACAAAATGATAGAGACATAGCTGGCGCACCTAGCTGCCATAGTTCCCGCTAATGACTCAGGGAGGATTTCGGGGCAACCGGAACCTTCCGTTGAAAATGTTAAGGTGATCACCACGAGGGGAGGTAACTCCACTCAGGATCCGCCATATCCTAACTCTGCAGGAACAAGGAGCAGCAGCAGCCAGGAAGCGTCGCCTAACGACACGGCTGAGATAGAGGAGGCAGCTCAGCCTGAACGAATTGTGCCGCAGGAGTATTGCGATGCAAGGCTGTTGTCGTTCCCCCAGAGACACAAGAGGCCGTTAGTGGACGAGCAGTTTGCTCGTTTTCTTGAGGTGATCCAAAAGATCCACATACACGTGCCACTGCTGGATGCCATGCAAGTACCCACCTATGCACGGTATCTCATGGATAACCTCAACAACAAGACGCCACTACCCACAACTGAGGTGGTCAAGCTGACGGAAGAGTTCAGTAATGCTATACTCCACAAGCTCCCGGAAAAGAAGAAGGATCCAAGGTGTCCCATGATCACTTGCTCAATTGGGACGCAAAAGTTCGATCAGGCCCTCTGCGACCTTGAAGCCAGCGTAAGCGTCATGACCAAGGAGGTCATCGACAAGCTCAACTTCACGGTGTTGGCACCAATACCGATGCGTCTGCAA